TCATGAATACTTAGTGATAATTCCTAATCCTACCGATTTCTCTCCTTCCATCTATAATTACTCAACAATTATATAATAATATAACGTTTCATAAATGAATAGGTCACTATTTTAATTCAGGCATACAATGATTCATGCAACAAGAAAATTGAACGTCTCTTCAGTGAGCAGCTTATATCGTTCATTCGCCAAAATAGAAATTTCATAAGAACGCAGTATTCAAGCATTCCACTTCAATTTACATTTTCGCCTAAACCCCATTATAAAAGGGTATAGATAATTGACTTAGTCACCTGAATTATAACAAAATAATAGTCTTCAATTTCTGATAAATGTACCTATATGCAAAGTGTTTTCGAAAATGAGGCATTTTCTCAACAGGAGAAGGGGAGCACAATATAATATAAACCATATCATGAAAGATCTTGATTATGAATTAAATTGCAGAATAACAGAACACACAATTCCATCACAATAACGTCACAACAAAAAACGACACACAAACACAAGGGTGATATTTTGGTGACGAACATCGATTAATAAATACTGAAATGAACTTACGGGTATGACGTCATAATTTCGAGAACAGTAATGAGAACGCCAAAATAAAGTTTTTCATCTCTCTTATATTGTTCTAACCTCTATTCAGATCCCTGTGTGTTGTCTGCTTGTCTGTCTCAACTAGGACTGGGCAAAAAGTCGATATATAGATATATATCGATACAAATCGATACCAAAGAAAACGTTCACTGAATAAAACACATCCTATAGAACCTGAAGTCGAGATTGAAGTGCAACGTTGGACTTCAAACCTTGATTTTGATATTTGAGATAAATGTTCTTTATGTTGAGCACATCAACAATGAAGTTTCGTTACTTCGTTACACCATCGGTAATCGATATATATGAATATATTGTATGTACCGATATATTCGCATATATTATATGTATTTGTTATATGTATCGATATGTATCGACCGATTTCGATATATTGATATGTATCAGTATATTATATATCGATATCGATATGTATCGATATTAATCAATATATGGAAGGAAAGTCGTTGCTGACCAGTAGGAATGGCACCAGTGTATATTGGGGGTAGCAGCAGTGTGAAAGAAATACTCTTTAAAGTTCATCCAAGCTTTCTGAAATGTTTATTTTCATCATCAGGAACACTACTATGATTAGAGAGTGTAAATACAATGGAAAACCACCAGGGCCATGTCTTGTACTTACATCTTTGGTGAGGTTGGTTGAAACGTTGTTCGATATATAAAATTGTATAAGAGACGGTGACACAGTGCCGGTTCAACCAGGGGTCTTTTGGGTGCTATAGCACCAGGCGGCAAAATCTTCAGGGCGGCTATATGAAAATACTGCACATATTTTGTCATCAATCATTATATGGATAATTTGATTTGATCACTACTCTATCTAAACTGAAATGTATGTTTAGAAGTGAATCATCCCAAGAAAAGCACAATTAGGAGAAAATACGGCAAATAATGCAAACCCAGTTCTCTAATGGTATAAACAAACGTACCGATATCAATCATTTAAGTGAGATTTATTCTTACCTACTATCAATTGATAACGCGCATTGCATAACGAGAATAGTCCCATCCTTGTCTGAATTCACAGTTTCCAATTGTTGACGTTGACGTTTCTCAACAAGTTCTCAACCGTAGCAGACATTATGCTCATGGACATCCCAGGTAACAAGCTGACGTCATTTGTACGTCAATATATGGTCATTTATGGTCATTGACGTCATATGACCTCAAAATGACGTCATTTTGACGTACTTAATATGACGTTATATAGACGTCCTTGATATGTCGTCATTATGACGTCATCTTTTGATCATTTTCATGACTAATTATGACCATCATTTATTGAGTCATCTACATCAAGGAAAATCCATAATCAAGAAGTTTCCCATCTCTGTTATATGAAAACGTTAGTAGTTATGTTATATAACATATATTATTATGTCACTCATCATATATTATGCTTCATAATAATTTTTCCTCTAATCTGTGCGAGATGTGTGTTTTCGATGGTCTCTGAGATAATTGTTAATTATATACCTTCTGTGCAAAGTATTCTTCCTATAGTTATTAAAAATATAAGACCGAATGTCACGTCATAAAAAGATTATAACGTTGTTATTCCGGAATGCGAATTCAAATAAGAGCGGGAGAGTGCGTAGAGAACTGTATTTGATTGGTCGGCACGGACCTTGCGCAGACATGCGAACGTCGACCGCCAGCGCCAACCCAGAACCCGGGACAGCCGTTCACTTTCGCTTCGCCGTTGCGGCCATGATGACCATAACAACAAAATAACAATACATAGAAGGCCATCATTATCATGTTATTCGGCTATCTATGTGGTGTGGTGTGGTGGTCATACTTATTCATATTCATATATCAAGTAGTAGAATTTGAGGATGGCAGCATGGTCATTATTTTAGACAAGTGGTGTATGCCGAAAGAGCATAGCAAGAGAGAATGTGAATTGGACGCCATTGAAGGAGAGAAATCTCTTGAGTGCATCATCCGAATGGGATAAGTTCCCAATAAAGAGAACATTTCATGAAACTGGTATTTATAGTACCTACCTATAATATTATTTTGCATTTAATGTGGTGAAGGAACATCAATATGATTATACAAAAAAAATCTCATCTTTTCTGATAATATTGAAACAACCCTAATGCAACAGTGTTTTTTGTTTACCTACAGAAAATTTCGAAATAGCACAAAATGAACTGAAACATGCAGAAGATTTCAGTGATATAAATAATCGTGAAGATCACGTCATTTTTACGCCATTAGGATGTCGTCATTTTGACGTCATTAGGATGACGTCATTTTGACGACATGAAAATGACGTCATTCGTCTTTGACTTAGAAGGTCATATAAACGTCATTATAACGTCATTTTGGAAGTCATCCTAACGTCAGGCCTGACGTGATAATGACGTACAAATGACGTCAGCTTGTTACCTGGGATAGCAACAATCTCTTTTTCTTCTTTTTTTTTCTCTTTCACAAATCAGCTGAAAACTACAATAGTTATAAACCACAATAACACACCTGTCAATCGACACACAAAAACCCTTTATTTCATGAAAAGGAAGAAACAGACATTCCTAACCTTAACAATCCAGAGAATTTGAAGAATGTGAGCAATGTGACTTTGCGAAAATCATATTTTTTTCAACCAAAAATTTTAAAATTTTAAATCCACAATAAAATAAGTAACAGTCAGTTTAGATGTGAAAATGTTAGTCTCCTATGTGTCTACGTAATACATTTTTTCACAATATGTCACCCTCTCTTATACAATTTTATATATCGAACAAGGTTGTTACCAACCTCACCAAAGATATAAGTACAAAGCATGGCCCTGGTGGTTTTCCATTGTATTCACACTCTCTAATCATTGTAGTGTTCCTGAGGATAGAAATAAACATTTCCGAAAGCTTGGATAAACTTTAAAGAGTATTTCTTTCACACTGCTGCAACCCCCAATATACACTGGTTTCATGTATCAATATATATCGATGTATCGATGTTTCGATATGTATCGATATATATATATATATCAATATGTATCCATATGTATCCATATGTATCCATATGTATCGATATGTATCGATATGTATCGATATTTATCGATATGTATCGATATTAATCGATATGATGTATCGATATATATTGATATATATATATATCGATATATCGATATGTATTGATATATATATCGATATATCGATATGAATTGTTATATCGATATCAAAGCAAACATCGATATCGATATCCAATTTTCAATATCTCACAGCCCTAGTCTCAACCATAATACCACTGTCTTCCCTAGTAACTACCCCTACTTCACTTATTTTAATTTTTTAATTATTCAATACCAATCCCACGATAAAATAATGGAGAGAATCGATGCCGAAACCTCTTCTGTTATCAATGAAATTATTATCGATGATGGTGATGGTCTTGCACTTCGAACAGATCTTACAAGTACTTGGCAAAATGAACTCAAGACATTATGCAAATCCAACTAAAATACCCTCGATTCTTCAAATCCTGCCAAACCATTATTACCATGCCAAAACGATTTTGAAGGTTCCGAACTACTATCAACAATACCTGGCAAAGCTCCATCAGATCGTCCATCGCTTTCAACGAACCGGGTTCTAAATTTGGAATTATGACGTCATGAGTTAGTCGCCAAACCAGAGTATTTCATCATCCTTTGGAAGTAGTTTGTCGCCATAATATCACTATGAAATAGATAATGTGACTGAAGACTGGAGACAGAAATCTCGTCGATTGATGTATGACAGACCGATTATGCGATCACAGTGCCAGAGCCGTACTATGAATTCATAATATTATCCAATTATTTTTTCACTCCAATTGTTTGCATTTTTTATATAAGTGGGCGAGTTTTGGTTAGATGCTTCATTCTGATGAGCATTCAAGAAGATGACTCAGTTTTGAGAACACACTGCATATCCTTTGTTTCTTGAATTATTGAAATTGATATTTCTCATGCAAATCATATTCATATTGTATTAGAATACAATATGATATGGGTTTTGCCTGAATTTGAATCAATTCGAAGATCGATGGAGATTGTAGAAAAGTACTAAGCAATTTAGGTTATTATCAATTCATTGTCAAAAACCTCCTAGTCTCAATAGCTAAATTGGAAAGTATTTGAATCATGGATTAACTCCATTTGAATTGATTCGATATATTTTTCAATTTGATTAATTTTTTTTTTTCGAAAATGTATTTGTATAAAATTGACTTGTTATACTACTATCAAGTTTCTCCTCATGCCTGATAATATTGTCATTTAGTTACAACTTCTAAGTTATTTTAGAGCTATAGAAAAAGAAAAATGTGAACAAAAGTAATTTTCGATGTTAAAATATATAGTTCAACATATTTGTATATATTGAGGTGCGATGAACTTCTTGTTGTATCTGATGACCCTTTACATTACCAACCTGTTGAAAGTACTGGAACTCTATATTCTTTCGTCTCTAGTATCTGTCAAAAAGAAAAACATCTCACTCCCAAAATCTATGCTACTGAAAACTACTATCTCGTTACAACACAACATATTCAATCGAATATAATAGGTATGTCAAGATATTTTGTTGGTATAATATAATGTTTACTATTCCGAAAATTCAAATTGACAGTTAGAAGATGGCCGATAGAATTGAAGATGAATGAAATTGAGTTCAGGTACTGAACTCTTGAGATTTCATAATATTGAGATATTTTAAGGATCTTCAATGATCTTTGGCTTGAACATTCGAAATTCTTAGCCTTTCACTCAACAGAGGAAAGTCTAATCCTATTCCATAATACATGAATATAAGAACAATTCAATTCAGTGATGTTATCACTTAAAAAATTTTTTGGATTATTGAATGACACAATATCTTGAATCTCATTTTGACTACTTCTGTCAATTTTGGGAGAAAAAGATATTTTTCTTTTTCAATATTATGTTCATGTTATAACGAGATTGAACTAATTAGATATCACTAGGAACAACAATTCATTAGCATTACATCTCTGAGTATCGAAGGAGTCAGTCAGTGCAGATTTGGATTTCAGTGTTCACATTCCCCTTCACCCTCCGACATAAAAACATGAATTAACGTGTTAGCTGCATGCATGACCAACACACTGTAGCGTATTGACTACTAGACCATTTCGAGTTTCTGTAGAGTAGTTGCAATTCATGGTCCATAATGTATTACAGGATTGAATCCTCTCGTACTACCCACAGCTGAAAATACCGTGGCCAGAATATTCAAAATAGAGCAAGGGTCCTTAAAATTCCTCGACATGTGTTTTGCGAACATTGTTAGACTCTTCAGGAGAAGATCTGAACTGTGCATGTCTAGGCGTATCAAAAATTGGTTCGGTTAGTGGTGAAACAGGTGAGTGGAATGATCAAGATGCAAGAGTAATACATGATATGAAAACATTCTTATTCCAATTGTAAAATCTAATGAAAATATCTGAGTCGAAATCAGTCATGCAATGTTATTCACCTCAAAAGTCGATGATTCAACCAACTGAAATTATTATCACGATTCTAATCACACCATTATTACTATCACCTGAACCACCAAGTTCTCTCAGAATTATGGAATCAATGAAACCACGGAGCAATTCACTAATTACACGACTCGATCAAATGGATGTCCTATGGGCATCCTTTTCTGGACATCTCGAACATTCATAGGATATCCAGTTTGTGTACACTGAGAGGAGTATGGACATCTATAGGATTATCGCGTTTCCAATTTTTGAGCTATCCATATGGTGTCCGTCATGGACATCTATATAATAACCGTCATGGACATTCATATTATGATAAATTCCATAGGATGTCTAAAATGTGTGAATCAATATATATTGGAATACGATCTGGTTATTGAACAGAATCTATATGTTTCTGGTTGTTATACTCATTGTAAATGTAATCATATTCAAGAACACTATACAGTCTGTCCAAGATAAGGTTAAACAGCATGGGGATCTCGAAAACTGTAGAAGATACGGAGTCGGTTAAATGGGGAAAAAGTTACGCATTTGGAGGCTCATATCGAGAGCCTTCGAAAATTTTCAAAATTATTTTCAGTTTTTCAGTTATATCGAAAAAAGTGAATTTTTGGAATATCTATTTCTTTTTTTTTTCACCGTTATTATTAGAGAAACAGAAAAACTGAAAATACTTTTCATAGCAACTTTCGATGACGTTCAACGTGGTTATACCGATTTTTTTATGCGACGTTTCGTATCCGTAGAACCATCATCAACTTTTTCTTTCAAATACGGTCCTGATAATTTTTCCACAGATTCTGGAAGGTTTTTTTATTCTGAATTCGACCATGTATTAGACAAGGTGATTCGAATGTGTTTCGACCTATTTCTATTCATCATCAATGTTTTTTCGAACTTCCAAAGGAAGAGTTCCATCAGTTCCATTTATTTCTGATCATTTAGTGTCAAACATCAATGGATTAGTTATTCAATATTGAAAAGAGAATAAAAAATATTTCACTACATCATTCAATGCATCGCTTGAAATTGTTGATGAATTCTTACACGAATTACTTTAAAACTCAACTTTGACAATACCTACAGAAACATTTATAACAAATGTTCAAAATGATAACCATTATTTTCTGAACAAAGATATCATCTTCTCACAGTTGCTTCTAAGACATTACTAAGCATTTCTGGGGTTATTCTAATGAATGCTTCGATGACACTGTCCAGCAGTTCTTCTTCATCATCAAAGCTATTTGAGTGTACAAAGTTTTTAATATATCCCCTGAAACAAATCCAGCTGTGTCAAATCAGGTGACCGCACCGGCCAAGGGACTGCAGAATGAGTACCAATCCATTTTTCTGGATTACAACGCACGAACTTCTCTGGAATTATGTACAGGAGCGCCATCTTGTTGAAACCAACAGTTCTGAACTTCCGCAATCGGTAAATCATCCAGAGCGTCCTCAAGATGATTCTCATGCAAATTTCTATAACGTTAGGAAGTCTGTGTTCCATGGTGAATAAAAGGACCAATAATTCGTGTACCAAATATTGCATCCCACATATTGAACGATGTTGGTGTTTCGCTGTAATGTGTAAATGTTCATTTTCTCGTGAACAATAATGTGTATTTTTTCTATCGAAGATACCATGGTTAGTGACCATGTTTTCATCAGTCCAGATGTTTCCTGGTATACCACTCACAGAATGTCCTGCGCCTTTCGTCATCGCCTGGTTTTAGCTCTTGACATATTTTGAATTTGTATGGATCGAATTTTTGTTTCCGCAAAATGAAATAGGTTTTTGATTGAAACCAGTTGATGAGGTATTAGTGTGTTGACCTATTCTCCTTCAAAATAAGTGGAACTGATAACATTTTTCCTTTGGAATTACGAAAAAACATTGATGATGGTTAAAAATAGGTCGAAACACACATAAACCACCTTATTCAATACATGGTTGGATGAAAAAACCTTTCAGAATCTGTGAAAACATTATCAGGACCGTATTTAAAAAACAAAAGTTGATGATGGTTCTACGAATACGAAACGTCGCATAGAATAATTGGTATCACCACGTTAAACGTCATCAAAAGTTGCTATAAAAAAGTATTTTCAGTTTTCCTGTATCTCTAATAATAACGGAGTAAAAAAATAAAATAAATATTCCAAAAATTCACTTTGATATGAGCCTCCGAATGCGCAACTTTTTCCCTATTCAACCGACTTCGTATCTCCTACCGTTTTCGAGATCCTCATGTTGTTCAACCTTATCTTGGACAGACTGTATAGGTACTATAATATTCTATATAGGATTGATGTGATATATTGTTTTTCTTGTAACCCGCCCTCATCATTTCAGTTTGGTTGAGTTTGCACAATATGAGTTCATCGGTCTGAACGGATTTATCAAGTTTACTTTTGCACTATTATAGGCACTCAATTTCAGTTCCGTTTTAATAGTTGAAATTCCTGGACAAAATTGCAAGCAACTCGTTCGTTCACAGACAAATATAGAGAGACAGATTATCACAATAATATAAATCATCAATGCGAATTCGAACGAATCATGTGGAAATCATCAGACCGCAATATATCTGAAATGTTTATCAGTCTCAGTAGTCTCAGATATTCACCCATGCATCAACGTTAACAACAATAACAATGGCGTACGGCATCACGGCTCATATCACTGCTCTGACACGGCTGATCCGCTGACCCTGTGGACCTGTGGTCACCGAAAGAACCGAACGACGTCGATGATACCCGAGACGATAGTGGTGAGTAACATGATCAGAGCGAGCATGGAATGAACACTATAGGAATAACTTTATTCAGAAATTCAAGGAACATCTTCAAGTGGACATCCTTTTGTTGTCCAGATTGTGTCCATGGATACCTTGTACATATAATGGACACCACATGGATAACTTCACCTGGACATCCCTTAGATGTCTTCATGTGGACATTCAATTGTTGTCCAAAATGTGTCCATGGACATCTTGGACATATAATAAACACAATAAGGATATGCAATTGACATTTTGTGTTATTAGGGTACTTAGTTAAGATTACGCCAGTTGGGCAATCAGACACTCAAATTCCTTAACGAGTTTTGAAGTATTTCTTCCCTCTCACTTCTAGAGGGGGCTACACTCATGTGGTCTATGGAAGACGCCTCTGCGAATATGAAATGCCAAGGTGATTTTTTTCATTCAGGTTACGCTCAGCTGGCGATCGTATTGATGCGTCCTCGTGACTACCCTACACTGATGAAGGTCAAAAACTCGAAACCAGTTTGTAGGTGTCAAGCATAATTCTGGTTTGATCTGAAATCAATCGGCATTGAGGAGAGAAACACTCACATCAGTATTCGTTTACATGAAACGATGCATACATTTCGGAAGGATGTTATCATCCAATTTTGTACATCGCATTAGCCAGGAGAGTAGTTGTTTTCCTTCCGACATCAACTATAGTTGTTCATTTCATGAACATTCGTAGAAATGACTTTGAGTTTCGGTTTTAAGTCGTAGTATATGTATTTTGTTGGTATGTATTGAACATACAAACTGGCCATCGACCTAGGGAGAGATCCTCCAGTCCATGTGTGCTCTGTATATGGGCTTTGGTGCTTGTTTCATACGCAACTCCAGGAGTCGCACTAGTATAATAAAAACGGAATAGAGAATCGTGCAGGATCATCTCCGGACGAGGCTACGAAAATTAGAATTTATAACTTGGTTTTGAAATGAAAATGCTCTGCTCTGCATGTAGATTCGAACGAAGCTTCCTTTCGGAGTTCTGAAAACTAGCCGAGCGCATCAACAACTGCGCTTTCACGCCGTTGGTATTTATTTTTCATTCCTTTCCACTTCGAGCTTTTCGGCTATTGTTCAATTGTTATCATAACTTTCTGCATCAAGTTGGTGCATATATCTACATAATGATATATATTCGGAATTGTAGCA